ATGGCGCCCGCGTGCCGCGGCGGCGAGAGGGGGGGGGGGGGGCGAGCCCGCCTCTGCGGCTGGCCCAGAAGAGAGGGGATCTTTGGGGGCAGGTCCCAGCAGGCCCCTCAGGCTGCCCCACCCCTACTGTCCCTCAGGTTTCCCGAGCCCCTCCGGACACCCTCCCACAGTGACAGCAGGGGACCCCCTGGGGCCTTCCCCCCAGACTCCGCCAAGAGGCACCATGAGTGGGGGGGGGATGTCCCCAGGGGTCTCTTATCATCCCAATGGTCCCAGGGTTCCCAGAGCCCCCAAGAGTCTATACGATGGGCCCCTCATCTTCACTGCCCCAGAGGGCGTCCTAGAAAAGGGCCCAGGATGTTGGGGTTTGCAGCAGCATGAGACGGGGGGGGGTCCCAGCGCACACACCCCTCCCCCTGCCTGCCAGGCCTCCTCCTGTTCCAAGTCCTGATGGAGGCGTGGCCTCAGTGGGGTGGATCTGAAGCTTCGCCCCGCCCACTTCAGGGCCTTGTTTTTAGGCAGTGATGTGGGGAGGGGGGAAGTCGTGGCGTCTCTTGTGACACTCCTCCTTGGGGGCTTCGACTGTTCCAGAATGGAGAGAGAATGTGACAATTTACAGATTTAACCAGCTGTTGGGTAAGAGATTCCAAAAGCTCCCCGGCCCCTGAACTGTGTTCCTGGCTCACCCAGTAAATAGGCTGCATGTGAACACTCAAGATTTCTCTAGAATTCACATGAGTCACGTGGGGGCAAAGAGGGGAAAGTTCGTTCCAGACACAATCGACATCCTCAAGGCTCAAGAAACGCCTCGTTCACTGAATCCCAAACTAGTAAACATAAAAGGAGCCACAGAAAACGGAGCCTCTTTTCCCAGCATCCCCTCTGTTCCTGGCAAGGGCCATGAAAGGATTCTGGGCATCTTGCAAGACGGACCGCAGAAGCCCCGAGAGCCCAGAGCCAACAGGGGGGGGGGCTTCGGAAAGGCAAGAAGGTGCTTACCGTTGACGTGAGGGAGTCCGCCGCTGTACCACACGAGGAAACCTCGCCCCCCAGTGCCCTCATCGGAGACCATCTGCAGCATCATGCGGTTGCTGGTGGAGAGGATGGCCCCCGGGCGGAAAGTGCCACAGAAGCGGCCCAGGCGCTGCCCCTCCTGCGCCCGGTGTCCGTTGTACACGTCCAGGTAGTCGTAGCGACAAACGGGGTCCGGCTCCAGGTCGAAGACCCGGAAAGACAGCATCACCACCTGGCCCTCCGGCACCTGGAGGGGCAAGCAGGCGGCCCAGCATCCCGGTCAGGCTGCGGAGGGGGAGGGCCAGCACCCCAGCCAGAAAACTCCCCACCCCCCAGCACCCCCCACCCTCACACACACACACCGCACTTCCACATGATGCCAATTTCTGAAGCACAGCCCTTGAGACCCAGGAGGACACAAGTAAACATCCTTTGTCCGCTGCCTGCCGATAAAAGTATCTTGAGGGACCGTGGGCGGGGGGGGGCTTCTTGACTCCTGGGACTCATTTTACACCTGA